GGCTTTGTAATTGGTGCTCCTTAAAGAAAGGGACAAGTGTCTGTGGAATAAAATCCAAACTCCTTACCCTGGCACACACAGCCCTGGCTCAGCAGGCTTTCTCCTCCCTGACCAGCCTCACCTGGCACCACAGTCCCCCGCACTCCCAGCGGCCTTCTGTTACCGGGACATGCCCACAAACTCATTCCCACTGTTACCCTGGCTCGTTGTATGACAGATTTCTTCTCAGCAGTTATGTACCGGCTCCTTCGAGAGGCCGCAACCACATAATATAGTTTCCCTACTTATCCACGGTGCTCATTTACATTACTTTCTTTGGTTTTATCATTGCATTTATCCCATTCTGAAATTACTTATTTCATAGTTTCTCTCCCTCGAAGATAAACTCCATGAGTGCTATGTACAATGGCTTGCGTTTGTTAAGTTTTTACTGAATGAATAAATGTGCACATGAATGCCTTCCCTACTTGGGAAGCTGTTTACTCTTTTCTATCACTTCCACATTTCACAGTCTCGGCCTTTTTCAGACCACTGGTGTATAGATTAGGGTGAATGCAGAGAAACTTCATAGTACCCGAAATCAACACTCTGTCCAGTGCTGTCTGTTTCCTTCTGAGCTGTCCCAAGATCTCACGCACTGACTCTGTCCACAGCTGAACTTTCCTCTTTGGACTGAAGCCAAGTCATACCCTTCTACCCTCCGTGCCTGGAATGACACCTGTGACCCTCTGCTTTTCTTTCTTTATCTTTCTGGAGGTCTTTTGGTTTAAGTGCTTAGTCAAGGGTGCAATGTGCCTGACTCATCTCTGGCCTTGTCTTGCTCACATGATGGTGTGGGAAACTCTGCAAGGGGCTGAGCACATGCCCATTTACTCATCATCTAGGCATTTGTGACTTTGTAGGCATTATTTGAATCACTCATGATTCCTGCATTCAGTCCACCCACTAAAACACAGGGAGCAAACACCAGGCCCGTGGGACGAATCCGGCCCTTCACCCTGTTTTATCCGGCCCAGCACCTTGTTCCTACCCAGTGGCAGTGCCGAGCTCTCCCTTAACTGTTAAGGAGTAGTTACATTTACACAGTCCTAAAGTTACACTTGGCCCTTTGAAGGCAACCATGAGGCTGATGTGGCCCCTGGTGAAAATGAGTTTATCACCCCTGCCCTGAAGGATTACTTGTTTCTTCTGGGAGAAAATTCTGACTATATTGAGACTGGTCAGTTGACTCACTCCCTGCCTTTGTGACTCCTCCCGCCCCCGCACCTGACGGCTGGTGCCCAAGTTGGCATAGGTGCTCTCTTTCTGCGCTCCCTGTGCTTCTGTCACTGCACGTACCTCATCATTTTGTCATGATCTCTTTTTGCATGTCTTTTTCCTTGAAAAGAGGGAAGCATGATTTTTAGCTTTGTATTACTGGTGCTTGGCACAAAGCAGGCATTGAATAAATAGTTATCAAACGCATGAACAAAGGAATGGGGTGAAACCTGAAATAAAAACATGGTTTATTAACACATTCAATTTATATGTAGACAGTGTCAGACATGTTTATTTTTGAATAGAAATTTGTAATCCGTGCCAGCTCAATCCAGAAAAACCAAGTTTTCCCCAGATGGATTGGTGAGGACTCAGCTTTGAGATGAATCACTTTGAGTATATTCACAACCCACACTATGAAGCACATATAGAGCAACGAAGAGACACCCAGAACTATTTTGCATGGCCATGTACATCCTGCATAGAGATTTCACTACATTCATTCATTCAGCGTTTGTTGGGAGATATGTTTTCACATGAACAAGAAAGCAGTTGATTGGTTTTTTTCAGTATGTTGTCATTTTACTTAATAGTTTAACACAGAAAGTGCCTTTGTGTTATTTGGGACATGACACAATCTCTGAAGTCTGGGTGATGTTACACTCTCATGTTCATTTCCCAGTGCCAGTCCTGTAGAGAATAAAGTAGTTGTGAACAATAGAGCTGTTTCCCCTGTAGGTTGGCTAGTGTTAGGTTGCCACCAGGTGTGACAGAGAAACCTCAGTGTTTCTCTTCCTGGCTGTGGACACATGTAGTCTTATATCACCTATTTTTTACTTGCCGATTTGTTTCATATAGAGGTATTCTTTTCTTCCTTTTTATTGAATTTATTGGGGTGACCCTGATTAATGAAATAATACAGGTTTCAGGTGCACAATTCCACAACACATCGTCCATTCACCACCCCGAGTCAAGTCCCCTTCCGTCACCATTTAGCTCCCCTTTACCATCTTCTACCTCCCGCCCAGCCCTCTCCCCTGGTGATCACCACGCTGTGGTCCATACCCATGAGATTTTTCCTTTTCTTCTTTCTTTTTTGTTCATTCCTTTCACCACCCTCCCAGACACCCCGCCAGCTGTCAGCCTGCTCCCTATCAGTGAGCCTGTGCCTATTCTGCTTGGTAGTTCATTAAATTTTACAAGTGAGTGAAATCCTGTGGCATTTGTCTTTCACTGCCTGGCTTATTTCACTTAGCACAATGCTCTTCATGTCCATCCGTGCTGTTGCAAACAGTAAGATTTTCTTCTATTTTTTATGGCCATTGTGTTCCATTGTGTAAAGGTACCACAATATTTTTATACACTCATCTACTGATGGACACTTGGGCCCTTTCCAAATCTTGGCTATTGTAAATAGCACTGCAATGAACATAGGGGCGCATACATTCTTTCAAATAACTGTTTCAGGTTTCTTTGGGTAAACTTGGATGGACTTGGAAAGCATTGTGCTAAGGGAAATAAGCCAGTTAGACTAAGACAAACACCACGTGATTTCACTTACATGTTAAGGAACAATATAAACAAACAAAAGGGAAGCAGCCTCACTGACACAGAGAACAGACTGAGGACTGACAGAGGGGAGGAAGGGAGGCTGGGGTCTAGGTGAAAAAGTCAAAGGGATTAAGAACTAAAAATTGATAATCACAAAATGATTACAGGGGAGTACAGTACAGTACAGCATAGATCATATAGTCAATAATGTTGTAATAACTATGTGTGGTGCCAGGTGGGTACTTGAAATATCAGAGGATTACTTTGTAAAGTGTGTGATTGTCTAACCACTATGCTTTACACCTGAAACTACTACTACAAAAAGAAATTGAGAAGATAGTATCCAATTATCCTGCCTATCTCCAGCTAATCAAGGCCTTATGCAGTATCTACTGTGGGTTTAACCCCTGAAATGGTTTTTCCTGATGTACAAAAACAGGTTCAGTCAAGGCTTTGTTGCGACTGTTACTTGTTTTACTCTCATGTGCTAATTTTCAGAGATATGCTTACACTCTTATCTCAATTATTTATTAATTCTATCTCACTTGTAGAAACTAAAAGTTTGCTTATCAATGAAAAGGAAGAGGCAAAAATCAAAAAGAGAGATTTAGTATTGATCAAAATGTGAGTCTAAGAACCTCTTTTTTAGAAAGAGCAGTGGAGGTTAGCAAGCGTGGAAATGAAAAGTTATAGACTTGAGTCTTCAATGCGAACAGTTTCTATTAAGCAGTCTAACTAAAGGTAACAACAACATAAAAGGTGGTGAATGGGTTAATGCCAAGACTTGGGCCCTGTCTCCCAGGAGCTCAGCTACTTTCCCTGAGTTTCTACCTCCCGCTGCTCAGCACTCAGCCTTCCCCTGAATCTCCCATTCTAACACTTACTCCTTTCCCTTCCATCCCCTTCCATTCCCTTCTTGCCCTTTGTCAGCTGACTCTTTATGGGAAAACGATGTGATTTAGTACTTCACCCTAAGTGGTGAGTGGTTGAGAGGCTTAATCCCTCTGGTGCGTTAGCACCAAATTTGGAATTCTCTATAGAAATGGCCCCTCAAATTATGGTATATTTCTCCCTCTCCCAGAGAACAGAGAACAGGGCATTGGACAGAGAAGGAGTAGGGGATTAGGATGCATAAAGTTCCAGTTATAACATGTCATGGGGATGTACTCTACAGCCTAGGGAACAAAGTAAATGATAATCATAATAACTATGTACGGTGACAGATGGTTACTAGACTTATTGTGGAGATCACTTTATAAGGTATGTTAATCTCAAATCACTATGTTGTACATCTGAAACTAATATAACATTGTATGTCAACTATAATTACAAGGAAACTTAAAAAGTAAAAGGTGAATGATAGCTTTAGGCTATATGTGGTCATTCCATTCCAATAAAACTTAACATTATAAAATTTTTAAAAATAATAGGAAACTAAGTCCAGAAGTTGAAGAGAGGCGGGGTCCAGGTGCTCCGAGGCCAACTCCAGCTCTCAAGTCTGCCTTCTGCTCTGAAGCAGCTTTATCACTGAGCAGAAGAAACAATCAGTGCTGGGCTGTCCGTGCAGATTCTGCACAGCCCTTCCCTGTCCCCTTGGAAGGGGAGATACGTAATGTTCCAGAATCCTTTGCCGGTAGCTCTTGTTACAATTCCCAGCAAGCGGTGCCTGCCTGAGGTCTGCCAGGTGGGAGAGAAGCAGCAGCTGCCATTCATCCCTGGCAAAAGGGGTGGCCGTTCAGGCGGATGGCAGTTATTCCTGACTCTACGGCCAGGTGGCAGCTTCCAGAGGAGCCCCTGCCACTCTCTCATGTCAGTGCTGTTGGCTTCCTGGCTTCCTGGGATCCTCTCACTTCTAAGTTTCCTGAAAGCCAGCAGGGTTTTCCTTGGCCTTCACATTCCCAGCCTTTAAGATGGTTTTGGAAGCATCTAATCTCTCCCTGCTTTTTGTTTTCCTGATAATAGTCTAACTGATACAGACACGTTTGCTGATTTTATCCCTCTCTGGTGTCCTGAAAGTGAGTTGTTTGTTCTCCAAGCAAGAATGTAAACCAGTGAGGACTCAGGATGTGTTCTAAATTTATAACAAAGCATATTTCTTGTTCTTTTCTAGTCATTTTATATATGTTTCTTGAAATCTCCCATACCTCCTCCTAAAAAAATCAATGAAACAATGAAAGCATCTTCATTCTTAGTTAAGTTTTTTCATTTATTATAGCTGCTATTGCTGTTATTGTATCTTGCTTTATACCAGAATTGTGACAAAGGGCCATTAGTTTTACAGAAAGTGAAGAAAGGTAAGACGGTTGCTTAAATTTTTCCCAAACCTGGCCAGACGGGAAATTCACACATCCTTCAAGTTTATGAAACAGGCGTCGAATCTTTATTAAAGTGGCCAGCAGAAGAAGGTCATCCTTGTTGATGTAGCGGTGAACTGGAATCTCCTCAGGGTTTGTTAGCTTTCCAGCAAAGAGAAAGAGAAGGGAAGCTGAGGATCTAATAGTGGGAATGGTCCCTGTGGGCCGAGGCCAGTGGCTACACTGATTTGGGGTTGGATTCCCTCTTGAGTCTGATTATAAGCAGGGGCAGTGGTGTTACTCTAACCTGAAATTCTGTGGAGACTTGAGAGACCAGAGTAGGTCAGAGGAAATGATTCAGATACTTTCAAATGCTTACAATTTATTCAAGGAACTTAACCAGCATGTACTAGGGGAGCACAGAGATGCTGCAAACACAGTTTCTTCCCTGGGAAGTGCCCTGTAGGAGCCCATGTTGTGAGCACCAGCTTGGAGGCGAATGGGGCACTGAGGGGCAACCTTCCACAGAGGAGGCAGCACCTGAGCTGGGTTTTCAAGAAGGACTAGAAGGACTAAAACTCTTCCTTCTCCTGAAAGGTGCCCCTACCTCCAGGAGGCTGGTCCACATTACCCTGTCCATGACCCTTCCTCTGCCCCTGCTCTCCTCACTTCCTCATAGCCTTTGATTCAGGCTGACGTCTGTTTGCAGCTGCAGGAAGGTGAATGGACCTGCTAGCACAGCCTTGCCTGAGAAGTTTCCAGTTTGCAGCTTCAGGACCAGCCTAGAGGGGTGTTCAGTGGGGCAGACTAGATAGAAGCTGAATTACTGCCTTCTGTAAGCTGAGTGACCACTTGCCTGCAAAAGACACAAGAACTCACAATATCCTGCGTTTTCATCCCTCCCCGTGGAGAGAAAGGATGGAGGGAAGGAAGGGAGGGAAGGAGGAAGGAGTATGAGATGGATGAGTAACAAGAATGGATCAGCATTTTTTAACTTCCCTTCAATTCCAAATCTCATAATATGACAAAACTTTTTTGGAGGGGAATAATAGTTCTAGAAAATAGGAAAAAATTTTATCAGCAGAAATAATCTTGAGGAATTCCGAAAAACCAAAAAGCAGATAGGGGCCTTATCCAGAGTGATAAATGATTAAATGAAACCACTAACCTAAAACACACACATTCTGAGCTCAAAGTCAAACAGAAATGAGAAGCAGGAGGGGCCCTGAGGCAAATGTTAGAATAACAGTGTGGGAGGAAGCCCTTGCCTCCCCCTGCATCAAGCCTGGCACTGGGGCTCACCTTCGACCCCTCCAGAGCACATACAACTTCACTGAAGTCATCAGAAGCAGACTTCAGTTAGCAGAACGTGCAGGAAAACAGGGATTCTCAACCACAAAAATGAACACAGAACCGAGAACCACCACACATTTGAGGAATTTTGGCTCCGTGACAGAGGTACCAAATTTACCTATCAAAGATGCTTATGTTCGTTCAAGGAAACAGAATTAGTAGTCAGAGGAAGACTTTAGAACATACACAGTTAACATTTTCTGAAGGATTTGAGAGGGTTATTGTTGTCAAGGAAAAGAAGTAACTGGAGGACTTGGGAGTTAATTCTATACATATGAAATATATAGGTAAAAATTTTAGAGTAACCAAAATAGAACATATTAACAGACTGATTTTATTAGGTTGCGGAAAGCAGCAAAATCCATCTATATGTGTTTACAAGAAACACATCCAACTTGAAACTAGATTAAAAGGCCATTGCACCATTGAAACTAGAATGCACCAAGCAAGTGAAAGAAAGCAGGTAGAAATTTAACATCAGATGGAACAGCATTTAAGCCAAAGGCCATTCATTAAAAAGGGAAATTGGGAATAATTTTAAATTATAAACATGTTTATAAAAATTATAAAAAATAAACATGTTTATTTTAAAAATAAACATGTATGTTTAACTATCCCTGACTGAGTATTTAGTTGATGCCAAGCACCACGCATAGTACTTTGCATTCTCATTGAATCTTTACGACAGTCGGAAAAGTAGGAATCGTTACCCTCATTTTATAGATGAAGTGTGACGGACAGACTGCCCCATGACATGACTGCTGCCAGACCCGTGAGCTAGACCTGGGCCAGGACAGAGACTGCTTCCCTCAGAGGCTGTCTGACTATAATCCACACTGTCCTTCTGATGTAAATAGTACCTCTCTTCTATGCCCCATGGTGTGCTGGTTCCTGGAACAGCCCTTGTCCTTACCTGGGCATTTTCCTTCACCTTGGTCTGTATAATTCTTTGGTGCCTGTCAAGCAGTGTGGAGGACATCCACATCCTCTGCCCCAGATGTACCTTGTATGTGAATTCCCCTTAATGAACTCTGTTAATTGCCAGACTGGAGTGGCCTGCCTCTTTCTTCAGCCTTTCACTGCCCATCAGTTTAAAAGGTAGATTTCTAGTCTTGGGGCTTTTTTCTGGGTCTGCCTGTACTAACACGAGGAAACTAAAGTTCAAGTTCACCCACTTAGCTAGAGGGCAGAGTTGAGATTTGAAATTATACCTTCTGTAACCTGAAGTCCATGTTCTTTTTTTGTTGTCATTAGTGTATATACATGTATTTCTTTTTTAAAAAATATATTTGATTGGTTATGCTATTACAGTTGTCCCGTTTTCCCCCTTCACTCCCCTCCACACTGCACACCCCCTGCCATCCACATTCCACACCTTTATTTCGTGCCCATGTGTCATACTTATAAGTTCTTTGGCTTCTATATTTCCCATACTATTCTTACCTCCCCCTGTCTATTTTCTACCTACCGGCTATGCTACTTATTCTCTGTACCTTCCCCCCTTTCTCCCTTTCCCACTCCCCTATTGATAACCCTCCATGTGATCTCAATTTCTGTGGTTCTGTTCCTGTTCTAGTTGTTTGCTTAGTTTGTTTTTGTTTTTGTTTTAGTTGTGGTTATTAATAACTGCAAGTTTTCTGTCATTTTACTGTACATGTTTTTTATCTTCTTTTTCTTAGGTAAATCCCTTTAACATTTCATATAATAAGTGCTTGGTGATGATGAACTCCTTTAACTTGATATTATCTAGGAAGCACTTCATCTGCCCTTCCATTCTAAATGATAGCTTTGATGCAGGATAGAGCAATCTTGGATGTAGGTCCTTGCCTTTCATGAGTTGGAATACTTCTTTACAGCCCCTTCTTGCCTGTAAGGTCTCTTTTCAGAAATCAGCTGACAGTCTGATGAGAACTCCTTTGTAAGTAACTGTCTTCTTTCCTCTTGCTGCTTTTAAGGTTCTCTCCTTATCTTTAATCTTGGGTAATTTAATGATGATGTGCCTTGGTGTGTTCCTTCTTGGGTCCACTTTCCTTGGGACTCTCTGAGCTTCCTGGACTTCCTGGAAGTCTTATTTCCTTCCCCAGATTGGGGAAGTTCTCCTTTATTATTTGTTCAAATAAGTTCTCAATTTCTTGGTCTTCCTATTTTCCTTCTGGTACTCCTATAATTTGGATGTTGGAATGTTTAAAGATGTCCTGGAGGTTCCTAAGCCTCTCCTCATTTTTTTCTGAATTCTTGTTTCTTCATTCTTTTCTGTTTGGTTGTTTCTTTCTTCATTCTGGTCCACTCCATTGATTTGAGTCCCAGTTTCCTTCCCATCACTATTGGTTCCCTCTACATTTTCTTTTATTTCACTTAGTGAAGCCTTCATTTTTTCATATAATTTGCAACCAAATTCAACCAGTTCTGTGAGCATCCTGATTACCAGTGTTTTGAACTGTGCATCTGATAGGTTAGCTACATCTTTGTCACTTAGTTGTATTTTTTCTGGAGCTTTGATCTGTTCTTTCATTGAGGCCCCCCTTTTTTTGTCTTGATATGCCTGTTACATAGTGAGGGGTGGAGCATTAGGTGTTCACCCGGGTGGGCAACCCATTTTGTTGCTCTGCATTGTGACACTGTATGTGGGGCAGGGGTCCGAGAAGGAAGAATGGTGCTTGTTCTGCTCTCCGCCAGATTTCAGTCACTTCCCCTGCTTCCCACAAGTAATTTCAGCCCTTCTGGTGCTGATTTCTGTGTGGGTGGGCTTGTGTACATTCTAGGACCCTGTGGGTCTCTCAGGCAAACTCTCCTGTGAGGCTGGGAGTCGTTCTTGGCACCTCAACCCCCACAGGTGTTTACAATCAGTGATTTGAGGCTTTATTTACCGGCGTTGGGGCCCTGGGTTGCGCGGTCTGTTTCACTCCCCGGTTTTGCCTGATTTATCTGTGTATAAATGTGGAACTGCCCCAGTCTGCCAGCCGCCTTGCACACTGCATCCTGCCCACAATCCGCCTTACTGGGTCCACCAGCCGCTGCTTTGCTGCAAGCCCTCTCCACCCCTTCTACAGGTCTGGATGAATGTGTCTTCTTTAACTCTTTCATTGTTTGACTTCCATATAGTTCAATTTTCTGTCAGTACTGGTTGTTTTTTGTTTTTAAATTTCAGAGATGCTGAGATTTAAATTGTTTCAGGTCCTTATTTTGGTTGTATGAGGAGGCACAGTGTCTATCTATGCCTCCATCTTGGCCGAAGTTGAAGTCCTTGTTCTTAACCAATGCACAGTATTGTCAGTTACTGAAAGTGTACTCTGGACCATGCCCTGGGCAGGATAGAGGAATCAGTAAGACAGAGATCCTGTAATTCAGGAGCTCACCACCAGTAAGGAAAGTGGCTGTGAGGGCAATTATAGAAGTATGGCTCAGCAAGCACAGGAACGGAGGTGAGTTTTGTGGACACCCCAGAGAAGGACACGACTGACCCTCATTTGGCCAAGGGCTAGGCAGTCTGGAAGTGTCTCCAACAAAATAGGGCTTATGCTTGGCCTTGAACATGATTAGAACCCAGGCCTCCTGACTTAGCTCATGGCTTTCTATCATAGTACAGAGAAAAGCAAACACAAGAAAAAATCCTAAAACCAAACCCTGAAAGCAGCACTGTATAGTCGCAGAGTAAACACTAGGTAACTGTTGCTTGGATCCAAGTCTGAATTAGAAGGAATTTCTGAGGGTGAAGAAACAATTTATAAGACTCCCTCAACCCCATATGAAACTTTCCCATATGTGTTTTTAAATTGAATTCCAAAATTCTTAGTGGATGGTAGATGACACACAAGTATAATTTATCAGTAATAACACTAACAAAAGTTATTTTATTATTATTCTAAATGCTTTAACTGTTTTTTTAAAATGTACCTACCTTCACTTTGGTTCCGACATTGATCCTTGCCTGTTGGCCCATTGCTAGGAAAGTGATTGAAATCTTGTCTTGTTCTAAGATGCGCATTCCAACATAATGGTTCAAAGCCAGGAAGACAGGCTTAAATGAAACAAAGGATGAGGGAGCAACAGAACTTGACCAATTCCAAGCCCTTATTCTGTTGCCGGCTTGATCTGAATATTGGCCTCCCAAGATATTGATGTATATCCTGGGAAGAAATAATATTAACAATTGCAAACAGAAACATTGTAATTCAACTCTGAAATTCGCCCTGACATTTGCTAACCAAGGGGGAGTAGTAGTCTATGCTAGCCAATGGCCTATAAATGACAGAAAACCTCAGGTGATAAGACTGTGACAGAATTCTATACTAATTTGAAGTACTGAGTTTAATTCAAGACCTGATAAACAAAAATGGGTCTCATGGGTGGAACTGGGATGGTAAAGGGATCTGGAAAATGATATGCTGGGAAGAAGGATGAAGCAGGGTTTTAGTCTGGACAAGAAGAAATACAGGAGAGTAGGCTATACGTGAAAGATGGGAGAAGACCAGTGCTTAGATTTTCACCAGGCCCAAATGAAGACCAGGGAGTGTATGCTTTGGGGAAAGCCAATTTGGCCTCAGTACAAGTGTTTTCTAACAGCATTGGCACCTGGGAGTCAGGAAGCCTGGGAAGCCTCTCATCAGGGCCAGGTGTGGGCGGAAGAGGCTCAGGGGACATCTCTGAAATCACTATGGTGGATAGGGCTTTGTAACGGAACAGAAGGCGGAACTTATGAGCTGGGCTCCCCAGTCTCTTAGCATCACTGATGCCACACTTTACTGCAAACATACACATTTAGCTCTGCACAGTCTGCAAGCTAGTGGCACTAATGCTTCCCATTCTTCTCAGTTACATCCTTCTCATACTCTCTCACCTTCTTCCAACTTGGATCACCATCCCTTTCTTTAGGAGACAGAATATGTAGAGCTCTGGGTACTCAGAAAGTTGGCTTAATTTAATAATGAATTATTTTTTAAAAGCTATATCGGCCCTGGCTAGTGTGGCTTAGTGGATTGAGCGCCAGCCTGTCAACCAAAGGGTCACTGGTTCGATTCCCAATCAGGGCTCATGCCTAGGTTGTGGGCCAGGTCCCCAGATGGAGGCATGAGGCAACCACACATTGATGTTTCTCTCCTTCTCTTTCTCCCTCCCTTTCTCTAAAAATAAATAAATAAAATCTTTTTAAAAGGAATATCTCTTAATATACAACTGACTTCAAAATTTAAAAAAAAAAAAAAAACAACTAGGTGAGTTGGCAATGAGTGACCCGTAAGTAAAATCATTAACATCTTATTTCCCTACCGATAAGTGGTAGTAATCTAATAGCAAAAGTACAAATGGGAAATTGAGGTGATTATTTTATTGTAGCTGGGAAGTAGCATACAGAATTATCTGGATAAATTATTTATTTGATAAACATTCTTTGAGTCTATATCATGTACAGATACATGCTATATAGCAGCAAAGACCCAGGATTTGCATTCAAAGATCTTTAGTCCAGCAGGTCAGGTAGAGGTCTCTTTCACAAGAGGCAGCTAGAAAAAGTTACATCCATATCAAGGAATCATGTCAGAGGGCCCAAGAGTTGAGTTAGTGGTTCAGAGGGCTTTATTGACATGGAAAAGTCCTAGAAACTAACGAATATCTGGTGATAATTAATGTAGTGCTCCAACAAATGTAATACAGAGTTGCTCTTGAGCCCCAAAGGGTAAGTAAAAATTGTCCAATATACAAGGAGATAATGGATTGATTACTGCACTGGACTACAAACACAAATAGCTTTCTGTGTCCTAACTCTCTCAAGTTCTGACCGTGTCCAAACTTTCATGCAATTGGCAGAATTTCTCAGGATGAGACTGTTATACCTCTAAATAATGTAAAGAGAGAGAATAACTCTTTCTGAAAAGCTCAAAAAGTTTAAATTGTATTTGAAGTTAGAATCTAAATTTTATTTGCTCATAAATGAAATAATATGAAGTCAGAGTAGATAAGTTAGTGGATAAAAATGGGATCGAAATCTCAATTTCCCTAGATATTTTGTTTGCATGTTATCTTTGTTGGTTGTGGTTACAGGAAGTTACTAGTTAGAAGTATATCTCCAACAATGACAACCTAGTGTAGCACCTGTGCACTATAAATGATTTCCTCAGATGAGGCAGTATAATATTATTAGGACACAGATTCTAGAGAGACTCTCTGAATCCATATTCCAAATCCCTAGGGTGACTTTATAATTTATATAAAGTTTTTATAATATTGAAATTATATACTGCATATTTTCTTTCTGTTTATAGAAAGAATATGATGAACTTTGTTTTATAAATTTGCCTAGGATTTTTCCATTGAGAAGCACACAGAAAGGTATAAATCAAATATTTCTCTGAGTTACAAATTACTATCTAAGGACCACTGACTTAAAGAAATTTTCTTAGAGCCATTTTATCATTTAAAAGGAGAAATAAAATGTCATTATAAGATGAATATGTTCTGGGAATCTAATGTAGAGCATAGTAATTATACTTAATAATACTATGTTATAGTCATAAGTTTCTAACAGAGTATACATGAAATGTTCTCAATACTAAAAAATGATAATTAGGTGGCATGGTGCAGGTGTTAGCTATGGTGGCAATCATTCTGCAGTTTTTAAGTGTATCAAATCAACATGATTGTACACCTTTAAATTAGACAACATTGTATGTCAATTATATCTCAGTAAAGTTGGAAAAAATGAAGGGAAAAATAGTTTCACAAACTCAAACAGCACAATGGCAGCAGGAGGAAACTAGAAGCCTACCAGACATTTCCATTGGGATGATAGCAGGAACTTCTGCCAAAAGAATTCAGCACCGCCAGGATGGCAGGGTTAGAGGGCATGTCGTCTTGGACTATACACGTGAAACCGTTAGTCTTGTTGGGCACTCGGATGATGGCTAGGTTTCCAGATGGGTAGCTGAGATCAGATAAGGTCATTGTTCTAATGGTCTTTGATTATTCCAGGAATAAATTCAATTTATGAGAGTTCTTTGAAAATGTAAAGCATTCTGAAAAATGGGAAGTACTGTTTTTTATTCTAAAAATGTTATGCTTTTCATGTGGATCAAAATATAGTTATAACACACAAACAACCCTCAACATAATACTAGCAAATGGAATCTAGCATATCTAAAAAGGATTATGTACCATAACAAAATGGAATTTATCCCAGGAGTACAAGGTTGGTTTAATATTTGAAAATCAATTAATGAGATAGACTGTATTGACAGAATAAAGAGCGAATAAGAAAACATAATAAAGCCCTAAGCAGTGTGGCCCAGATGGTTGGGTGTTATCCCGTAAAATGAAAGGTCGCTGTCTTGATTCTTGGTCAGGGCACATGCCTGGGTTGCAGGCCTGGTCCCAATTTGGGGCATGTGGGATAGGCAACAGACTGATGTTTCTTTCCCTCTCTGTCATAAATTCCCCTCTCTCTAAAAAAAATAAATAAAATCTCTAAAAAATAAAACATAATAAAGACTGAGTGTTTTCCCTTTAAGATCAGGAACTAAACAAAAAAGTCCACTCTCCCCATTTCTATTCAGTGTTGCACTAAAGGGTCTAGTCACAGCAATTTTATCAAAGAGAAGAAATGCAAGACATCCAGACTGAAAATGGAAGAAGTAAAACGATACCTATTTTCAGAACACATGCTCTTGTATACAGAAAGTCCTAAGGACTCTGCAAAACAATATGTTAGAACGAATGAGTTTAGTAATGTTGTTGGCTACAAGAGCAACCTATAAAAACAAATGGTATTGCTACACTTTACCAGTGAACATTCCAAAAGTGAAATTAAGAAAGCAATTTCATTTACATGCCATCAAAAGGAATCAAATATACTGAGGATAATTTACTGACTGCTAATACTTAGTCCTATCTAAACTGACCAGAAGTCCAGAGATGAAGGAAACACAAGATTGATAACGAATCATTTTGAAAATGAGCCAGAGTCTTCAAGAGTTAAGATTTAAAGTCAGGGCGTGAAGTGATAACTATCAATAATAATAAAAGTTGCAGCAGTTATTTCAAAGTTATTGGTCCAATTAAAGCAAAACTGACACTCTTTCTCATAGTGTCTAGGGAACTAAAACTTCATTACACTACTTATGCCATGAAAGTCATTCTTTGGATTTATTATTGAGGTTTGACTAAACGTTTAGGAATCTATACTAAAAATGACTTTCTCTTACACAGTGAGGCCCTTAATTCACCAAAAAGCCCTCCTTATTTTATATTTTTTCCTAAAAATATTAAATAGGCTTTATGTCAAAATACCAAGTGACCTGGCCATCAGGAAGAAGTTCAAGTAATGGATAACTTAGTGTTCTGCAAAATGGATATTGAATTTTTGTATTAAAAAATGACATGCTGCTCATGGATGTGCAAACTGCTATACATTTTTCTGGGAGCAAAATCTACCAAAGCTTTAAAATGTCCATAGCTCCTTACCTAGATTTTCTACCCTTAGGTGTTTAATTCAAGGAAATAAGTGATAAGTGTGCAAGGAAATGTGCACAAAGCTATTCGTTTAGCTGTTGTACATAATAGCAAAAAACCTTTGTTCAGTAACAAGGGACATGTTAAATGAATTATATATTTCTATAATGAAATGCCATGTGGCTAGAAAATGGTGTTATATCTCTGTATTTATTGTATATTACATACCCATAACATTATGTATTGTATAAAATATGTAAAGGGGGCAAGTTATAAAGTAGGAGTAGCTGAAAAACTGATTAAAAAATATTATATGTGCATAGAAAAAAGTAAGAAAACATGAAAAGATGTTAAGTTTTTCTTTAGGTGGTAGAATTTGGGGATATATCTATTTTTAAAATAGTTTTCTATGTATTTTTTCTTTGTCTTTTTGTGAATAGATAAAGCTAATGAAAGTAACTTGTTGCTAGAAAGGATACAATATTTGCGTTGTTCCATCTGGAAATGAAGTTAGAAACTTGCTCCCATGTTTGTAGTTCTTCTCCAAGAGCTCATTTCTCACAATCTATAAATTACACAAAATAAAAGGACACTTACGTGTTAACTTTTTAAGATAGAATGCATTAAGTGTGACAACAGACATCCTTTGCTTGCTAGACAGTTATACACACCATTTCTTAATTTAAATGTTTTGCCCCGCTTCAGCAACAGGGAAAATCCTTAGGAATTATTAGAGATGGTCCCTAAACCCTACAGATAAATTGATAAAACTAATCTGACATTATGTATCTGTTTGGAGGGTTTTTGTTTTAATTTACGCACATACCACTATAAAAACGAAACAAAACAGAAGATAAAAGTCAGCCCTGCTATAATGAAAATATTCTATATCTTGATTGTAGTGGTGGTTACATAACTGACAAAATTCATACAGCTGTACATCCAAAGAAGGTACATTTTTTCTCTAGATAAGTTATACTTCAGTAAACTGACTTTATACCCCAGTAGCAGCTGCAGCATCTGGTGTCTCCTCAAGGTTGATCTTGAAGTTCATCTGAGTACAATGCTAGTGAAGTGTGAAAAGATGAAGAAAGAAATACAGGGAGCTATTCTTTATTTTATCTCCAAGTTTAACTCTCTTACAGGTAATACTTCATAGGGAGATGAAATGTCCCCCAACAATATTTAATGATAAAATAAAGATTGAATTTGATTCTATTTATTTTTAACCCTGAATTGTGATACAATGGATACAAGAATTCCTAGGGCTAACCAGTGAAACAACCTAAATTTTAATGTAAATGTTGCGATTTATGTTAGAAGATAATATATTTTTCACTTTTAAAAATTATGAAATATGGCCCTGGCTGCTGTGGCTCAGTGGACTGAGTGCTGACCTGTGAACCAAAGGGTTACCAGTTCGATTCCCAGTCAGGGCACATGCCTGGGTTGCAGGCCAGGTTCTTGGTGGAGGGTGCCTAAGAGGCAACCACACATTGATGTTTCTCACTCTCTCCCTCCCTTCCCCTTGCTCCAAAAACAAATAATAAAAATAATCCTAAAAATAAAAAAATTTTAAAAAGACATTTTAAAATGATTATGAAATACATTCAGATTAAGTGCTAAAACATGCTATTTTGTTAATCAGTAATTATAAAGTCCTGCATTATCACCACCCAAGTCAAGAAAGAGAACAACTGATACTGTAGAAGCCCCCAGTATGTCTATCCCAGTCAGTATCCTTCACAGACATAACCACTAGTCTCATTTCAAAGTAATTTCTTTGCTTTCATAATTTCTAAACAATATAGTTCAATTATTCCCAGTTTGAATTTTACACAAATGGAATCATATGTTATATATTTTTAATATTTTACTTTTCTGTCAACATTGTTTCATACATGTCCAAGTGTATAGCTGTAGTCCAATAGCTTTCATGTGTATGTTAGAAACAATGATACTGTGAACATTCTTATGAATGTATGCCGATATTCAGTGCCCATGGATATTAAACACAGAGGTGGAATTTCTGAATCCCGAGATGATGCCAAAATGATTTCCAAGTCATACCAATTTACATTCCCACTAGAGGCAAATAATAGTGATTGTTGCTCTATATCCTTTCCAACACAGTTCTATCACAGTTAACTTTTTTTTTTGCCAATATGGTAGATATGTACTGATCTCTAATTTTGATTTTAATTTTCCTTTCCCAGGTTACCCAGGAGGTTGAGCTCCTTTACATATGTTTATAGATCAGTTGAATTTTCTCCTTTGAGAAGTATGAATGGTTTTTGAGCCCATTTTCTATTAGGTGGAATTTTTTCCATGTCTTTTTACATTTAGGATATAAGCTCTTTGTATGTCACATGTGCTAAAATATTTACCCTTTCTTGATTGTCTTTCCCAACTTTAATTAATCAAATCTTTTATGGACACTGCTCTTTTCATCAGTTAGTAAATTTTTCCTTAACCAGAAGTAACAAAGCTATTCTCCTATATAAAATAAATCCTTGTAGTTTTGCAGTTCACATTGAGGTGTTTAACCCGCTTGGAATTGATTTTTACATATGATGTGAATAGTGGTTCCAATTTCACTAAAAAATAAGGATAATTGACTCTCCCAGCACCATGTATTGAGAAGATTCTTCTTCCTCCATTACCATGGAGTGCCACTGCCGTTGTAAATCGGACGTTTACGCATGCCTGAGTCTGCTTCTGGACTCTGTTCTTTGTTTATTCTACCGTAACATGACACTGTCTTAATTACTGTATTTTGTAATAGATCTTAATATCTAGTAGAGCATGTCCCTCCCTCCCGGCCTTCTGCTCAGGACTGTTTATATTTTTATGTAAATTTTAGAATCAGATGAGGTCAGTACCCCCCTTTTCTTAACATACATAAATATCCAATCCTGTTAGAATTTGAAATTTGGAAGAATGTTATCTTTAAAATAGTTAATCTTCCAATATGTGAACAAATTTGTTAAATGGGTTGTTCAAATATTCTATTTTATTATTGCTCCTGTTTGATCGAATAGTCTTCTCAATTGTGACAGCGGTTGGTAAAAGTATCTCATTATGATCATGGATTTAAATTTTTTCTTTTATTTCTATAAATTTTTTTTACATATTTTGAGGCTATGTTAATATGGGAATATATTTGTAATGTTATATCTTCCTAGTGGATTAAAACTTATATCATTGTGAAGTGATCCTCTTTATCCCTAGTAATGTTCTTTAGTATTTTCATGATATATTATTTTTATCAATTTATATCTAATCTTTTTGTATCCTTATATTTTAGATGTATCTTTTATAAACAGTAAATGGTTGAAATTAAAAAAAAATTGACAGTCTTTGTTAACTCGAGTATTTAGTTTACAGTATTTATATACAATTACTGACAGTCCTTGATGTTTTCTATTTATCTCTTATTATCCATTTTTCTTTTCTCTTATCCTTTCTTAACTTTTGGGGGCATTTAAAATAAATTATCTTATTTTTTGCCCTACTTCTACTAACAGGGGGGTTATGCTCTCTGCTTCTGTTATTTTTCTGGCTACTCTAGAAATTTCAGCAAGCAAAGTTAATTTATCAAAGTCTGAATTAAGCTGTGTATTAGCCATGCTCCTAATGAAGGACTTTAGAACACTATAACTGGATTTAGCCTTCTTCCAAAATCAGGTACTATGTTGTCATTCATTTTTTTCTATCCTGTTTTATAAAATTCCATGATCCTTTATTATTATTATTGTTTTATCAGTCAACTTTTAGTTTTATCCATATATATCATACACTACTTTCTTTGCTCTTCATCTTTCTTGAATATCAGACTACCCAGTTACACAAAGAACATTCTTTAGAATTTCCTTTATGAGGGACTACTAGTGACAAACTGTTTTTGCCAAACAGTGTCTTTTGGGAGCATATTTTCTTGACTCGGTGCAGACTTCTAGATTGACTGTTACTTTCTTTCAGCACACTGAAGACATTTCATTGCCTTCCGGCTTCTGTTGTTGCTGTCAGGAGATGTTATAAGAGTATAAGGTTATTTTATGATCTTACTATTCTCCTTTAAACATAAATGGAACCTTTTTTTCTTCTGCTTTCAAGTTTTTCTTTCTTTGGTGTTCTGCCGTTTCACTGCGGAGTGTCTAGGAGTTACAAAAATAACCACCCTGCTTGGCGTTCATTGGACTTCTTAAATCCGTGGATCGGTTTCTTTTGTCAGTTCTGGAAAATTAGTCATTATCTCTTCAAATACAACCTCTGCCTGATTATCTTTCTTCTCTCCTAGGATTTTGAATAAAAACATTTCAGATCCCTCATTTTACTTTCAAATCATATATTCTCTTCAGTTTTCCTTACCTTTTTTTGTCCCCCCTGGTGAATTTTAATAATTTTTTAACCCTTTTCCCAAGTCATTAGTTCTATGTTTAATTGGCTCTAACCTGTGTTTAACTCTTATCTTTTAAGTTTTTTAAAATTTCAGTTGTTGTTTTCATTTCTATAAGTTTACATTTTCTTTTCAAACCTGTTTGTCACTTTATAGTTTTCTGTTCTATCCAAATATCTTGAAGCCAATTATTTCTTTTTATAAAAATAGTTATCCCTGTGCCACCCAACTTTCCAGCACACCCAAGCTGTTTGCAGTGGCTTTTTCATATGAATGACCTGACTTAGTTCACGCTTTATACTTTCCTAAAATCTCCCAAATAAGCTGCATCTGGCCCCAGTATGCCCTGTGCCTCCCACTAAGTGGCCGTGGGCCTGGCACTAGTAGCAGCTGGCCTTCGTTCACAACTTGGCCTCACCTGGGCACATCCACCTTGGCACAGGTAGCAGCTATCTGAAGATCACTTCGTAGCTCATGCCAGGAGGCCCCTGGCAGAGTACACGTGGTGGCTGACCTTGGCCTATACCTCCTGGGAGGCCCCAGAGCCAGCACACTCAGTGGGCAGCTGCAGACCACATTGAAGCATAACCACTCAACCACCTCTACAAGCAACACATTCAAAGGGCAGACTCAGTGGGCACCAGAATCCTGTTGAAGTAAGACCAGCTCTGTGAGGTGGTCCCCTGCACAGCTGATCCTCTGCCATGGTCAGAGGTTGGTGATCAGTGCTCTCAGCCAGTTTTGCAGTTGATCAGCCTGGAGGTAGATCCCATCCATTGTTGTGCCAACAGCAATGAAGGCTCAACTGTAAGAGAAATGTATGCTTAGCCAACATGATGGGTACACCTTAAATGCCCAGCTTGGGTGATCAGGGAGGCTGTGCCACTGGACCCTACAGAACACCCACTGTATTAGGCCATGCTACCAAGTCTTGGGGATGTAGCAGGCAGCCCTACCTAACATATAGAAACAAACATAGGAAGGACACCAAAATGAGAAGACAAAGAAACATGGCCCAATGAAAGAATGGAGCAAAACTCAAAAAAAAAACAAGAAAGAGCTTAACAGAATGGACATAAGCAACCTACTAGATGCAGAGTTCAAAAAACTTTATAAAAATGAGAACTTCAACAGCATAAAATGGACCAGTCAGAAATGAAGGATATATCACTGAAATGAAGAATTTACACAAAATCAACAGTGGAGTAGATGAAGCCAAGAATCAAACCAGCATTTTAGAATATATAAAAAAAAAAAACAGAGCAGCAAGAAGAAAAAAGAATACAAAAAAATGAGGATAGGGTAAGGAGCCTCTAGGACAACTTCAAGTGTACCAATATTTGCATCGTGGGGTGCCAGATGGAAAAATAGAGAGCAAAAAATTGAAAACTTATTTTAAAAAATGACAGAAAACTTCCCTAACTTGGTGAAGGAAATGAACACACAGATCCAGGAAATACAGAGAGTCCCAAACTAGATGAACACAAAGAGGCCCACACCAAGACACATCATAATTAAAATGCCAAAGGTTAACTACGAAAAGTGAATTTTAAAAGCAGCAAGAGAAAAGCAGTTTAATTACTTAAAAGGGAGCTCCCATAAGACTACTACTGGCTGACTTCTCAACAGAAACTTTGCAGGCCAGAGAGGTATTGATAAGAAATATTCAAAGTGATGAAAAGCAAGGACCTACAACCAAGATTACTCTATTATTTAGAATAATAGCTATTATTTAGCTATTATTTAGCAAAGCTATTATTTAGAATCAAAGGAATGATAAAGAGCTTTCCAGGCAAGAAAAATCTAAATGATTTCATCACCATCAAACCAGCACTATATGAAGTAACAAAGGGTCTTCTTTAAGAAGAATAAAAAAATAAAAAATATGAAGAATAAAATGGCAATAAATACATATCTATCAACAATGATCTAAATAACTAAATAAATGAACACACAGAATAGAAACAGGCTCATAGACTCAGAAAACATTTTGACAGATGCCAGTTGGGAGGGGTGGGTTGGGCGATGGATGAAAAAGGTGAGGGGATTAGGAAGTACAAATTGGTTGTTACAGAATAGTCATGGGCATGCAAAACACAGCATAGGGAATATAGTCAATAATATTCAAATCACTATGTATGGTGTCACGTGAGTGTGAGATTTATTGGGATGATCACTTAGTAAGTTATGCAATATCTAATCACTGGAGTATATACCTGAAACTAATAATGTATGTCAAGTATAAATGAAAACAAATAAATAAATAAACAAACAGATTACTTCAATTTCCAAAGTCTTTGGAGGTCTTTTCTTTTTGGATATTATTTCTCTGGATTTTTTTTTATTGTGGTATTGAGTTTCCTTGTGTCTTTGATTCTTTGCATGTGTGCTGGTAATTAAATTTGAAGGATAATTTAGAGGAGTAATTTGCAGGCTGGATGAGTAATCTCCTTCCAGACAGTGTTTGGATTTGATTTTGTCAGGCACCTCAGTACACTGCCATCACTTAAATTCTTGTCACCCAAGAGAAACAAACCTGGTCTCGGTAATTTAATTTCTAGGAACCTATTCTGAGGATCTGTACTTATATAAAAATAAGTCTCTACACAAAGATATTCAAAGCATATTTTTTTGCTATTTAGTATAGCAAAAAAAATTGTTAACAACATCTATGTCCAATAATAAAGGAATGGTTAGATAAAATATATGAAAAAGCACATAGATATTAATGTTAATATAATTAACACGATATCACAGAAACATTTTTATAACTGTTTAAAAAGATAAAAATACATATGTAATGATAATTGCAAGTATGTTAACAAAAACCTATGAATAAGAAAGTCTAGGATGGTGTTGTCTAGCTGAACTTATAGTGACCATAAATATGCTTTATATCTGCCTTGCAACATGATGGCATTAGTTACACATGACTATTAAACACTTGAAAAGTGTTAATAGCTAGTGTGACTGAAAACTACATTTTAAATTTTATTTAATTTTAAATTTATTTTTATTAATAGTTGACACTATATAGTTGATACTATATTGGCTAGTGCAGGTCTAGAAAATATTGAAATGTTAATAATGATTTTTGGATATTTTCCCCTTTCTTTTTAATTTTCAAAGGATTCCAAATGTTTCTTAATATATTATTATCAGATTTTAAAGTAAAAAGATTTTAATTGAATTAGTCCCCTATAAAACATATGTAAAATATTGTTGTAAAGTCTGGTAGAAGTTAAAAGACCAAGTCCGTATACCAATTCTTCCTGACAAATAGTTCAGTGTGCCATGTACACAGGCTGCCATATTCATCATGACACCTTTTATAACTTTAGGTAAAATAATTTTTTAAGAGTAGCAAGTAAAACAAATTACAAGCTAATTACCTTTCCACATGCTTTCCTAGAATCACAACAAGCAATGGATATGTTTCTTTTTTCTAGTTCAAAATCAAATAGTCTGTCTTCGATTACCTCTTTTTTTGGAATATCCACAGAAAGTTGATAAGAAATTGTTTTGAGGTGTTTTGAATCTAATGGGAAAAGAATCACATGAAAGTACATATATGTTTTTTAAATTTCCAAAACCTCTATTCTAAAATGAAATTTTAAACTTTATTACAAATGCATTGATTTATCAGACTTTTTTTTAATGGAATAAAAGTGAGAACCTTTATTAAATTAAAGTGAAGACCTTCTTTTGTTAAAAAATTAATGAGACCATTCCTTTGTTAAAAGAAGGAAAAATGATAATTTTAATAAGTGCAATTTTTTGGCATTAGATTTATTAGTAAACAATTGAATATCAAGGAACTTTATACTAGAGATTTAGTTTAAAAAAAAACCCAAAATGTATCTTCTCTAAGTATCTTTTTTCCTTCTTTAGTTTTTCATTGTTTATTCTATTATAGTTGTCCCAAGTTATTCCCTTTTGTCGCCCCTCCACTAAGTATCTTTTCAATAGCACTGAGTTGTGGAGAAGGAACTGATACTCAGAAAGATTTAGTAATTTACCCAAAGCAGATAGGCTACTGTAAGTAGAAAAGCAAGGCTATAAATTCAGAACTTCTGGAACTGGAGACTATGATGCTAAGTGAAATAAGCCATTCTGTGAAAGACAAATACCATATGATCTCACTTATAAGAAGAGCCTAATGAACAAAGTAAACTAACGAACAAAACAGAACCAGAGACATGGAAACATGGAACAGGCTGACAGAAGGTAGAGGAAAGGGTGGTGGGGGCAGGGAGTGGTGGAAAAAGGGGAAGGGATTAGTCAAAGAATATGTATGAATGACCTATGAACATGGACAATGGTGTGAGGATTGACTGTGGGAGTGGGGGTGGAGGGGGCTGGACTGAGGAGGGCAAAGGGAGAGAAACTGGGGCAACTGTAAAAGAATAAGCAAGAATTTTTTTAAAAAGGAAGTAAAAATTTTTTAAAAGTGCCCTGGGAGTGGGGCGGGGGATAGAGGGAGGAAGAACTTCTGAATCTAAAATCAGTGCTTTTTCAATTGCACCAGTACTATAACTGCACTGGCCAGCAGCTGTGTATGAAGAAAGTAATCTAATTAACTTGGACAGATTTTCCATGCCCCAACCTGAAAATAAAATGGGATGTATGCTGAATAAAACAAGAGACAATGAACTCAAAAGCTCTTTGCAGTTGTCTGTGAAGTGCTCTATAGATTTGCTGATTTATTTTAATCTATAATGAGATGAAGACTGAAAATTTCAAAAGCTGATGGAACACCAGATTTTCTGAGCCATTTTGACTAATGCACTGACTGTAATGAGAACTTCAAATGGTGTTTTGTTTTTAATGTGCCAGTTTTAGCTCTTGGCCAAAAACATATGAGTTTTCTGATATACAACTGATCTATAACATAAGCATTGGTGAACTCACCTTCTTCAAAGAAACCAGTGTGTTCATTTGTTTTTACTATGAAATGTGCGGCCATTTTTTGCTCCTGTTTTCTACAAAATAAAAAAAAAAGATGCATAAATATGAAGTGTGTTTCAAGCTTAAAATAATATACTACAAATTTTAACTGTGTAAGTGCCATCCCTTATGATTTTTATTTGTTATTACCTGTGAATCCTGTTATTTAATCACAGCACATGGGTCTCTACTCTGTGTGGTGGACAAATTTCTCCCTTATAGGAATTCTGAAATGAATCCTCAGAATTGGGTTGGTAAATTTCTACTTTAAATCAGTGAGTTCACTGAGTTTTGGGGAGCTTCTGAATTGCATAACATTTACCAGGAATGGTAATAGGTTTGCTTTGGCCAATTTGATTTCTTCACTGAGACTGTATATTTGAAATTATGTATTTTGAAAAACAAGGTTCATTTTACAAAAAGCTCTGTAAGTGGACCTATCTAAGTTTCAATATCAAAGGCTCGATGTTACCTCCTCAGGGCTTTTTCCTTTGCTTTGATCCTATCAATGTCAGTGCCGTGGGCTGAGTGAGGTTTGATACAGATCAATTCATCTTTAGTGCTTTGGATTTTTAGCTTTTCCTCATAGATGTAGTCGATCAGATTTTGGAAATAACTACAACAGGGGGCCTGAAAAACAAAGGGGTTGTTTTCACCTCATTAGTCCTAGAATGAAGATAATTAGAGGGGATAAAAACCAAAAATGGCTCATGGGGTTTGAATTACAATCTATGATAACTTTTTTGATAACAAATTAACAAAATAATTCATATAACATACAATTCACACATTTAAAGTATGTAATTCAGTGGATTTTAGTGTATACAGAGTTGTATAACCATCCCCGCAATCGATTTTAAAACATGAAAACTGTACCCATTAACAGTCATTCCCTACCCTCCTTTCCTCTCAGCTCTGGGAAACCACTAATCTATTTTCTGTCTCTATAGATTGTCTGTTCTATTCACTTTATATAAATGAACTCATACAATATAGAGCACTTTGTGATTGGCTTCTTTTACTTAGCATAATGTTTTCAAGTTTCATCTGCGTTGTAGCATGTATTAGTACTTCAGTTCTTCTCATGGCTGAATAATGTTTGATTTCATGAATATACCATATTCATCAGTTGAAGGGCATTTGACTGTTTTCACCCTTTGGCTGTTCTAATTCATGCTGCTGGGAATATTTGTGTACAAGTGTTGGTATAGATGTATGTTGTCAATTCTATTGGGAATGGAATTGCTGGGTTACATGGTAATGATATGTTTAACTTTCTGAGGAACAACCAGACATTTTTTTCCAACATGGCTGCACCATTTTATATTCCCCTTTAGAGGTGGATGAGGGTTCCAGTTTCTCCACATCCTTGTCAAGACTTGCTGTTATCTGTTTTTTTTTTAATTATAACCATCTTAGTGGGTGTGGAATGGTATCTCATTGTGGTTATAATTTGTGTTTCCCAGCCAGCTAATACAAAACTCAAGAATACAGGGAAAACATGCAGGAGAAAATACTACATATATTTAAAAGTGACATTTAAAAATAACACTATTTCCTCAGGAAGCTTGCTTTAGAACTTACATATTCTATTGGTTCAGAGCTACTGTTGTCAGCATAAATATCCACAATGGAAAGAAATGTTCTTAGATCACTCCCACAAAATTCACACTTGGGTAATAGTTCCTCCTCTTCTTCCTTCAGAGAGAGAGAAAAAAATGAAGACCTGCCCATAAGAGCCTCTGAGAGCAGTCAGAGTCAGAGCTCTGGACAGGGCCAGAGAGCATCCAGTAGGACAGCAGGAGTGGTGGGGATGTGCCAACCTCCTTGAGAACTCCTGTCAGAAACCCTGAAGACTTCCAGGAATAGTTGGTGGGAAACTTTCAGGAGGCTGAGATCCTATACTGGAAGGCACCCAGCCAGCAAGATCTGTACATTCCAGAGTGGAACATCACTTCTGTTTAAGAGTGCTGAGGATTGAGGGCACTGGGGTGGTGTTTGGAGGGCCTCTGTCTGGTGGAGCTCACCAGAGCACAGCTGAGTCCATCGGGAGCTGTGTGGGTGCCTTCTTAGTGTGAGAAGAAACACTTGCAGAAGTGGTTGTTGACATCAGAGTCCCTTGTTGGGGAGGGGGATATACAGTGTGTTACTAAATGCAAGGAACAGAAGATAACACATACTAGATTTTAGGAAAATGTTCTAAGGAGTTTGAATACCATCTTTCAAGAAGTGTCAGGTTAGCCAACCTATCAGATGCACAGTTCAAAACACCGGTAATCAGGATACTCAGAATTGGTTGAATATGATCACAAATTAGATGAAAAAATAAAGGCTATGCTAAATGAAATAAAGAAAAATGTACAGGGAATCAACAGTAATGAGAAGAAAACTGGGGCTCAAATCAATGGTGTGGACCAGAAGGAAGAAAGAAGCATCAAATCAGAAAAAAAAATGAAGAAACAAGAATTCAAAAATGAGGAGAGGCTTAGGAACCTCCAGGACATCTTTAAATGTTCCAACATCTGAATGATAGGGGTACCAGAAGGAGAATAGAAAGACCAAGAAATTGAAAACTTATTTCAACAACTAATGAAGGAGAACTTCCTCAATCTGGGGAATGAAATAGACTTCTAGGAAGTCCGGGAAGCTCAGAGAATCCCAAAGAAGTTGAACCCAAGGAGGAACACACCAAGGCACATCATAATTATATTAGCCAAGACTAAAGATAAGGAGAGAATCTTAAAAGCAGCAAGAGAAAAGGAAACAGTTACCTACAAAGGAGTGCCCATAAGACTGTCAGCAGATTTCTCAAAAGAGACCTTACAGGCAAGAAGGGGCTGGAAAGAAGTATTCCAAGTCATGAAAGGCAAGGACCTACATCCAAGACTATTCTATCCAGCAAATCTATCATTTAGAATGGAAGGGCAGATAAAGGGTTTCTCAGATAAGGTCAATTAAAGGAGTTCATCATCACCAAGCACTTATTATATGAAATGTTAAAGGGATATACCTAAGAAAAAGAAGATAAAAAATATGAACAGGGAAATGACAACAAACTTACAATTATTAACAACCATATCTAAAACAAAAACAAACTAAGCAAACAACTAGAACAGAAACAGAATCACAGAAATTGAGATCACATGGACGGTTATCAGTGGGGGAGTGGGAAAGGGAGACAGGGGGAAAGGGTACATAGAATAAGTAGCATAGCCGGTAGGTAGAAAATAGACAGGGGGAGGGTAAGAATAGTATAGGAAATGTAGAAGCCAAAGAACTTATATGTATGACCCATGGACACGAACTAAAGGAGGGGAATGTGGGTGGGAGGGGGTGTGCAGGGTGGTGGGGAATAAAGTGGGGGAAATGGGAGAACTGTAATAGTATAATCAGTAAAATATATTTTAAAAAAGGAAGTGTCAGGTTAAAAAAAGTCTTCACACTACTATGTAGGCCACCATTTACAATGACCAACTTTGTAAATTAGAGTTCTTTCTCAAGAGGAAGCCCAGGTTGAGGCTCTAAATTCTCCTGTCTGGGCTATGAAGGTAATTGAGGAAGAGAACAGGCAGAGCAGGGGAAGCAAAAGGGGAACTTGGAGTTAGAAGTTTGGGTGACTCAGTGAGGGGTTGAGGGGCCATGGCCATGTTGGCAACCTGAGGGCATGATGGCAAGGAGGCAAGCCTCAGTAGAGGCCCGCAGGAAAAGACTGAGATCCTGACTTACAGGTCATGAACACCACTAGGGCTTCTGCAGTTGCCATAGAAACCATTCTCTAAGACTGGCAAGTGGCCATGGTGGATCCAATGTGCAACTGAGGTACCAGTGCCATCAGGGATATTCTACCCGAAAGTTCTGTCCAGTCCCTTTAGCCCACTGAAACTACAAAATAATATAGCCAAAAGCAGAAGACTTAGGGGGTGGCAAGGTGAAGCCTTGTAATAGAAAGATGGTATTGTAAAACCTAGGATGGCCACCAGATGTGGGGCAAGGCAAAGGACAGCTGACAAAGCCAGGCCATCTACAACCTGTTTCTTACAATGGTCTGGGTAGTGGGCTCCTCAGCTCAAGGTCCTTTCACCCCTTTACCTGGGGTCAAGCAAGGTGGAGATGCTTCAAAAGACCATGAGTTGGGCTGTAATCTGCCCTTGAAGAGGGTATGGCTGCAGAGAAAGGCAGGCAAGCCAGCTGTTGCTGCCCCTCAACTAACTAGCGTTAAAGCCCCATCACAGAGGACCTGGAATGTCTGTCCAAAGAGCAGGAGGAGCCAGCCTTCCCAGGTGCTAGTGCAGGGACAGGTCCCTGGAAGAAAGGGCACATGGCCTTCCTCATGTTCAGGCCCATCTCTGGGGGTCAGGGAAGAAACTTCCCTGGATACAAGCCTTTGTGGTTCAGAAGAAGGAAGGTGCTATGTCTGAATAAAAAATTTGAACTCAAAGAGTCCGTGGGGTGACTAAACCATTGAGAGACCTGGGCTAAATAAACACAGTCCATGTTGACTGATATGCAGTGGCATGGTATATTTAATGTGTTGCCCCTCATTAAACTGCACAGTTTGATGTGCTGCACAAAATGGCAACGAGCGCCACACTAGGGCATCTGCGCAGCATTGCCCTGAACTCCTGCACGTGCCTCTGAAATGTGCTGCCTCACATGACTGTCTTTTGTTTTCATTGAAAAAGCCTGCACCCTTAATGCACATGGGAGAAGTAATCAGAGGGGCTGGGAGCTGCACAGTTCTCTCCACATGGCCATAATACCCAAGTTTGGAAGTAATCATTCCACCAGTCAGTACCTCACCACCCTGGTGAAGCAGAATCGTGTGCCATCCTGTTGGAATTACTAAGGTGACCTTTTCCTTGCCTATCAAGCACAGGCATTAATTGGTCACTTAACATGATCAAATATGGCAAACCTATATTTTACCTATGTTTCCAGGTTTTATGACCACGGTTATAGGTTGAGTAGTGTTTTACCAAAAGACATATTGAAGTCCTAACGGCTGGTAACTGTGAATGTGGCCTTATTTAGAAATGGGGTTTTTGCAGATGTAATTAAGTTTCGATGAGGTCATTGGGGTGCGCTTCAATCCGATGACTGGTATCCTTGGAGAAGAGAGACCTTTGGATGCAGACACACACAGAACACCAGGACAACCTTGACAGAGACTGGAGTGATGCAGCTACAAGCCAAGGAATGAGGACTGACAACCACCACCAGAAGCTAGGAGGAGGCAAGAAAGGATTCTTTCCTACAGGCTGGACTTGCTGACTCCTTCATTTTGACCTTCAGAACTGTAAGACAATAGGTTTTTATCATTTTAAGCCACCTAGCTTGTGGCACTGCGTTACAGCAACCCTAGGAAACTAATACAGCCATCCTAAGAGCTATTTCAAGTAAGTGGGTTTGCCTATTTTTTACATATGTTCACTGTTCTTTGTGCAAATCATCATGTGACTTTTCACATCATTTATTACAGTAAAGAAAACAAAGAAAATCACCTCGAAGTCAGTGCCAAAGTTGAAACTCTCTCTTTGGAATGCCAGAAAGGGCGGTGGCCCGACGCTGGGTAATGTTCTTAGAGAAGGCTCGAACAGTGTTACGAAGTCCTCCTTAAACTAAATTACAGAGAGGGAGACAAAGAAGATTGAAGACTGACTACGTGCTCTTTACCACGAGCACAGTTTACTGCTTGGACTGATAAACGTTTCTTACCTCCAGCTCACATAAAATATTTAGTTCTGGCTCTTCTGGATTAACTACCCATTTTTCTGAAGAGAAAATGATAGATTTAGAAGTTTAAGGTCTTTGTGCAGTGTATCCCATTTGCTCTAGTTTGGAGATCCCAGCCCATTACACATACACAAACACACTTGCACATGCATACATACCGTTTAAATGCCCTGAACCCCTAGCTTTTTACCACCTTCTTGCATATATTCTTAGGGGAGGGTTTTTCTTTCTTTTTTAAAAAATATTTTATTATTTACTTTTAGAGAGAGGGGAAGAGGGGGAGAAAGAGAGGGAGAGAAACATTGATACGAGAAAGAAACATTAATTGCCTCTCACATGCTCCCTGACTGGGGATGCAACTTGAAACCCAGGCCTATGTCCCAACCAGGAATCAAACCAGCAACCTTTGACTTCTCAGGTCATGACCAACTGAGCCACAATAGTGAGGGCAAGGGAGGAATTTTCTAAAGGATGTGGGCACCGTCCAAGTTAAGGTGAGTCCCTAGTAGCAGTTTGCCTTTGCCAGCAGAGGGGATAACTCCAAACATCCACTCACTTCTTATTAACTTAGGTTTCTTTTTAAGTGTAGTTTCCTTCATTGTAGAGGGTGTTTTCATTTCTGTAAAAAGAGTATACATTTACCATTAGCCATGACAAAGTAGGAAAGAAGTATAATATAAAAGGAAATATGTCTCTTGGAAAAGTAAGTACCCTTATGGTGTTTATGTTCAATTTTTTGCCTTTTTCTAAATATAATTTTATAAGCAATGAGAAACAAAGAAAGAAAAGCCACCACTCCAATGTCTCACATTTAAAAATGTTCCTGTTCCTTTCTAGTACTGGAATACTACACAGATGCATCTTTACTTGATTATAATCATGTTTTGCAGACCCAGTTATTTTCTGCTTCTTTTAAGTACTATTCTATCTACTTCATGTCTGCTATTCTATAAAAGATTTTTCAGGTAGGCAGGTGCTGGGTGGAGAGTGGGGTTCAAGTTCAACACAGTGAACTAAAGCACCAGGATTATTTCCTCCACAGATTCCAGGGCAGTACTGGAAATGGGGAAGGCAGATATCAACATACCAGCCACTTTGAATAAATCTAGAAGTTTAAGCAAATCTAGAAATTTAAGCATATAGGACTGGAATGATGAAAAACCAATCAGAACAGTCTGCAGTCACTCAGAGGTAAAGGGAGGAGGCTGACCCATTTTGCAGCAGAGCGTGGGTCAGCAAGGACTGCTGTAGGAGAAAGAGGTTGGTTTAGACATACTTTCTATGTGGAGTATCTGGAAAACTTTTAAATATGTTTTAGGCATTTTATCCAACAGAAATGCAAGTACTGGTACAGTAAGATCTCAGATGTCCTCAACAGGTTCTGCAACTTTAAGTGAAATGACCTCTAACAAAATTAATTTTACCATTGGCTAATTGGTATTTAAGAAGTAGCTGCTTACGATATCTCCTTAACATTATAATAAAATGACATTATTCAAGGACCTGCTGTATAAAAAAATTAATGCACAAAGATTTTCATTAAGGCATTATTTGCTATCGGGAAGAGCTCAAAGAACCAAACCAAACAAACACTGAAATATCTCACAACGAGATTTATGACATAAGTCACAATAACTGTATATACGGTAACACTCATCTATTTTTCCTGGCTGCTAAGTAAAAATATTAAATAAGAAATAAAGCTGCTGTTATTCACAGGAAATATAATTATCTAATAGACTTTCAACTGACAAATTGTTAGAGTTAATAAGAGGGTCAGAAATGCAAGATTAATACATAGAAATCAACAGTTTTCCCATATAGTGACATTACCAATTAGAAAATACAATAAAAAAAGATTCCAATTGCTACATCAATAAAAAACACTAAAAAGTACCTAGGAATAAACTAATAAGAGCTGCATGAGCCTCTATGAATAAAAGGCTACAAAAGAATATTCATTTTTTAAAAATGGAGAGGCATACTAGATTGCTGCTGTTAAAACAATCAAACATGGAGGTTATTAGAGGCAGCTCCAGTGCCTTGGTGTCTCCTGTGTAAGCAAACAAACCCAAGCCAGAGTCAGCTCCTGTAAATGCTTCAGGGTTACAGCCAATCACAAGCAGTCAAGTAAGCTTCTCCAAATAATGTAACCGCTGAAGCTTTAGCCAGTCAAATAATTTCCTTGCTTTGCTCCCTTGTCTTTTCTATAAAAACCTCTCCCAAAGCTCTTGTGGGTGGTATGCTCCTAAACATTTGTGGTCTGATGCCGCACAATTCAAATGAATGTTTGCTCAAAGAAACCCTTAAACATTTGAAAATGCCTCAGTTTATCTTTTAACACTGCCAAACAAGATCAAAGAATCGACTTGTCAAAATCTGATGAAAAATCCGATCAGAATTACATGGGCTATAGAAATTAATTTGGTGGTAATTAACATGTTTCTTTTAAATATTTGGTCCATTTTGACATGAGATTGTGTCACTCCTCTGTGCAACCCTCCAGCGACTTCCCACTCATTCCCACCAGAAAAGATGTGGTCCTCACTGTTTCTTTGACCTTGTCCCCTAAGATTCTTCTCCTTACTCCACTGCTGCCACACAGGACGTTTCCTTGTTCTAGAGGGAGGTGCTTGCTGTTTCCTAGGCTTGCAGCACTCTTCCCCCAGAGACCGTCGTGGCTTACTCTCTCACCTGCTTGAGGTCTGCTCAGATATTTTACCTTCTCAGTGAGATTTCCCTGAGTGCAATGTATAAGCTCGCGTCCCTTGCACCCAACATTTTTCATCTCTTTACTTGCTTGATTTTCCTCTTTCGCACTTACATCACCCAACGGAGTATGTATATATATATATATTTATATTTATATTTATATATATATAAATATATATTTATTTATTTATTTTTTTGTGTTATTTATCTCACCATTACTTTCAGTTTCCACATTTCAATAGAAGATCATTGAGGCAAGGTTTTGCTTGTTTTGTTCACTGCCGTGTTGCTGGAACAGGGTTTGGCCTTATGAGAGGTGTTTTGACATATGGTAGGTGCTCAACGAGCACCTGATTAAGTGATACAACATAAAACAAAAAAAAACTTGAAAGAAAAGGCTATTCACAAAGATTATTTCTGAGGAGTATATTGATAAGTTAAAATTTAAATTTTTATACTATATATTTCTTAATGGTTTGACATTTAAAAAACAGCATGCATACATTACTTCTATAATAAAAAGTAAAGACATACACCAAGTTATAATGGCAGATTATTTCTTGGTGTGAACATAAATGCTACCATTGATTAAAGAATAAGTGCCAGTCCTGGGACAGAAGTATGACTATTGCCAACACATGAAGAAACTGAGACTGAATGAGGTTAAGTATCTTGCTCAGTCATCACAATGTTAGTGTTAGGTCTGGGATTCAAACCTCCATCTACCGATTGCCTACACTGTGTTCTTTCCAAAGTGCCATCTCATCACCCAGCAAAAAGCTAAGACATCAAACTACTCACCAGACTTCTTTTTGTAGGACAAGTTTCGAAGCCAACTTTCTTCTGTTTGAACTGATATTGGGGTTCCTGGATGTGAACTGCGAGAGACTGTCCTGGAATTTAGACAAAACATTTTTGTTGAGTATACCTCTATAGTTGTTAGCAGTTCTTCTAAATATAGTACATTTAACAATCAAATAATAAATGTACATAGAAGATCCTGAATTCTATTCTCTTTGAAATATTTTCCTCCATTTTTATCTCGTCAGTGAAGTCAGGCACACTGTTTGCATCACATCTGTTCTTTAGAAAGCACTCCTTTCTAAATCCTGGGCCCTGTCAGTACCTTATTATTCCCCTCAAGGACTAAATTACTACACCCCCTCTGTGTGTGCGTGCTGCTAGTGGTGTGTATGTTTAAACATTTCCTTGAATTTAAATTGAAATGAATTTAAATGAGAACATATTGTTCATTCTAAATAGCTTAAAAATAATCCAAACTCTTTTTAAAGGCTGCAGTTAAATGCACTGTAATTAAATAATCTGTTTCTACAAGTAGTTTAATCAGTTACTTGAGTTATCATTGACAGAGTAAGTAGTCAGGAATTTATTGACTTTTACTGTTTAAATGACAGTGGTAACAAGTAAACAATAATTAATGTTTTTCAAGTTCCTTTGCCTCTCTAAATTTTCTTTTTTGTAACAATTTGGGGCATCTTCCAAAGTTATCAAACAAAAAAATTTCCAAAAAGTTTAGTCAATGTTAGGATTGATTGTCCCTCTTTCATATTTCTCTGTTCTCTTAGGTCTCCACCTTCCTTTTTTGATGGTTGTCCCTTGGCACAGCCCATCAGTGGGGGGGTTTTGCTCTTATTCTGAAATGACTGTGTCCTGTCACGGGTGAGGGACTCCTTTGCCGAAGCTGGCTGTGCAGGTGTCTGTGGAAGCTCCTGTGAAAACAAGTTATAGGGGCCAAGAGGACAGGCACACTGAAGAGCAAGCCCTTAACAACATTTAATACTTGGGGTTTTTTCCAATGCCACAGTTAACAAAATCAATACATTCTTCATCTAGGTCTCTTTGCCGGCCTTAAACCAACATCAAAGATTGTTTCTGAAATCCTGTGTCAAGATGGAAGACCACCAAAGGTAATAACAAAATTTACATTTTCTGAATATTTACAGAGACGACATACGTAGTAGTTAATTTCTCACATTATTTCATCTATCTCTGCAAAAAAACAATCAAAGCAGGTACTAATATCCCTTTCTACAGGCCAGGAAACGGAGGCCCTAGGGCGCCTCTCAGCAATGACGTGCACAGGGGCAGATGGGGGTCCAGACCGCTTTGGCTCCCACACTTGTGGTATTCCACACTTATCTGCTCCTAAAACTTTTCTCATTTTCAATCTGACTGGTAATAGGGCCATTAAAGATAGAAGTTGAGCCAATGTCAGTGACATTTTTATGGCTTTTAAGCACAGATTGCCTTAAAAATACATTCTCACCAAATTCACTAGAGAATACTTTGAAATATTGAAAAAGTATTTTCTTAGGAAGACTTACGAGAGGGAATTAAGATTCGATCTGGGAAAGAGAGCTTCCCATGGAGGAAGTCCAGTCAGGACAGCACCTGCATGCACGCTTTTGTCCCTCCTTTCTGAGATGACAAATACTTCAAAGCAAACAAAAAAATAGCCTTGGAAAACAAGAAAGATGTCATCAGTAGACAAATAATATTGAAGAAGTCCTGGTGAGAAAGCATAGGTAGCCTCAGGTTGATGGAAAAGCAGAGCAGAGAATACCACAGCTCAAGACAAAAGAGGTAAGTTCTTCTGAAGGAATTCCCAAGAAGCGCCTAGTTCAGACTCAGCCAAATGCAGAGAAAGGGAATAGGACCTGTCATTAAAGTTCAAGGAGTGACCTTGGAAGAGCTGACCAGGCAGACTCTTTCTCTTCCTTTATACAGAGCATTTGGCAGAAGTTACTTAAATCTCCAGATGAAGCCCAAAGAACTGCTTTCTAAAAATTAATGACCAGCCTGCCTGAGGGGTTTTAGGCCAGAAAGAGAAGCAGAGCACAGTATGAGGTTACTTAGGACCCGCTCAACAGGCTTGGGTGAAGGGACAGGCACATTCTACCCATGAAGAACTCTAACCACCCAGTAAATTGTCCTTATTATAACTCCAGTAATAGTGGAGTTGCCCATCTTGCTGCTTCCTGCCGACACTCCACAGGAAGCTGGCTCTGACAAAAGTCACCCACCTACGCAGGACTCACAGTCAAACTTCCTTCCACAAGCCCTGTTAAAACATAACTACTCACTGGCAGAACTCCATTTTAGCTACCTAACAGTTATTAACTGGTAAATATAAATGGGTAACCAAGGATTACCAGTCACTTAAGGACAATCAGAGGCATGGAAGAGGAAGGATCAAGATAAATAAATAGAACAACTGATCCTGACAGAAAAAAAATACATCCCCCCAAAGAATTTAAGTATACTATGAGAGTACCCTTAAAGACATTTTAAAAAACCCACACAACTATTTGAACACCAACAGAGAATGAGAACTTGTTCTTGGAAATTGCAAATATGTATCCTGAAATAAATTCTGTACAAGGGCTGCATAGTAGTAGCATGTAAACACCTAAAATCTTGAAGATATTCAAAAAGCCCAAAAGCTATTCTTTAGGAGTTGTAAAAGAAAGAACAGAGGCAGTGAAGGGAAGGAAATAAGCAAGTAGTGTTTGAAAAGGTTTAAAAATCCCTGGTCAGCAATACTGGATACTAGAATGCAATGAAGCAACCAGTGTGTTTAGAGTACTGAGGGGAATTGGTTTTAAAGTGTTGGTTTTGCCAGGTTATCTGATTAATAAAGAATGAGGGACAATGAAGAAATTTCAGAATAGGCAAGGACTCAGAAATTTGACTTCCCATGAAATCTGCATGAAAAAATTACCTGAGGCGTTTCTCCAGCAAAAAAAAAAAAAATCAAAAACAAAAACAAAGAAAGCAATATCAGAATCACGAGTGTGGACATTGAGCCCAAATAAGAAAAACTGAAGACAACTAAAAATACCTAAGAGTTGAAAAGTTCATCTTTTAGGAGCGAGATTTTATGAACATAGGGTTTCATTTTCTGATACATAAATCCAGTCACATTATTGGATCTTAGCAGGAAATTATGAGTATTATTTATTGATTTTCATTTTTAAAAATCAACCTGTACCCAAAGCACTGAGTTAATTATAATTATAAAATATAATGCAAACATAATAAAGTTGGTAAAGCAATATGACTTTATATAAATATATAAGTTTTAATATAGTTTGCTATATAATTTGTTAATTGGAGGAGGAAAAGGTAAGAAAAGAGGTGGAAGGAAGTAGATGTGCATTAATGTGTTAATTTTCATAAGTTAATAGTTACTAAAATTGACAAATCAAGAAATAGAGGTTTAAATACTTTAAAGTCTTAAAGATTATAAAAACTAAAAATAATATAACTACCAAAAAATAGAGAGGAGGGAAGTACTATAAGTTACATTTGTCATCTTTCATGGTGGGGAGTCAGTAATTATGAGATAAATCAAGAAATAAAAATATGCTACTTAAATTTATACTGGAAATAAAACAAACTGTTAATAATTTGTTGGTGCTGATGAGGAGTGAGGGGGTTGAGAATAGGTATGAAGATTTTAGGTTTTGTACCATTGTAAACTTTTATATCTTAACCTTGTACATATATTATCTTTTCTTAAATGTGGAAGTCAGATGAGAAATAGAAACATTTTTAAAAATATATTTTATTGATTATGCTATTACAGTTATCCCATTTCCCCCCTTCACTCCCCTCCACCCTGCACACCCCCTCCCCCATTCCCCTGCTTTAGTTCATGTCCATGTGTCATACTTATAAGTTCTTTGGCTTCTACTTTTCCCATACTATTCTTACCCTCCCCCTGTCTGTTTTCTACCTACCATCAATGCTACTTATTCTCTGTACCTTTTCTCTCTCTCTCTCTCTCACTCCCACTCCCCTGTTGCTAACCCTCCATGAGATCTTCATTTCTATGGTTCTGCTCCTGATCTAGCTGTCCTTTTAGCTTGCTTTTGTTTTAGATGTGGTTGTTAATAACAGTGCGTTTGCTGTCCTTTCACTGTTCATCTTTTTTATCTTCTTTTTCTTAGGTAAGTCCCTTTAACATTTCATATAATAAGGGCTTGGTGATGATGAACTTGAATTTGATCTTATCTGAGAAGCACTTTATCTGTCCTTCCATTCTAAATGAACACTTTGCTGGATAGATCAATCTTGGATGTAGGTCCTTGCCTTTCATGTCTTGGAATACTTCTTTCCAGCCCCTTCTTGCCTGTAAGGTCTCTTTTGAGAAATCAGCTGACAGTCTGATGGGAACTCCTTAGTAGGTGACTGTCCCCTTATCTCTTGCTGCTTCTAGGATTGTCTCCTTCATTTTAATCTTGGGTGACTTAATGATGATGTGCCTTGGTGTGTTCCTCCTTGGGTCCACCTTCTTTGGGACTCTCTGAGCTTCCTGGACTTCCTTTGCCAGATTGGGGAAGTCCTCCTTTATTATTTGTTCAAATAAGTTTTCAGTTTCTTGGTCTTCCTCTTCTCCTTCTGATACTCCTATAATTCAGATGTTGGAATGTTTAAAGATGTCCTGGAGGTTCCTAAGCCTCTCCTCATTTTTTTTGAATTCTTGTTTCTTCATTTTTTTTTTCTGATTGAACATTTCTTTCTTCCTCCTGGTCCAGTCCATTGATTTGAGTCCCAGTTTCCTTCTCATCACTGTTGGTTCCCTGTACATTTTCCTTTATTTCATTTAGCATAGCCTTCATTTTTTCATCTAACTTGTGATCATATTCAACCAATTCTGTGAGCATCCTGATTACCAGTGTTTTGAACTGTGCATTTGATAGGTTGGCTACCTCTTTGTACTTTATCTATAGTTGTATTTTACAACTATCTATCTATAGTTATATTTTTTTCTGGAGCTATGATCTGTTCTTTCATTTGCCCCCCCCCCTTTTTTTGTCTTGATGTACCTGTAACATATAAGGGGTAGATCGTTAGGTGTTCACCCAGGTGGGGCAACCCACGTTGCTGCTTTGTGACGCTGTCTGTGGGGCAGAGGTCCGAGAGGGAAGAATGGCCCTTGCTCCGCTCTCTGCTGGATTTCAGTAATTTCTGCAGCTTCCCCTAAGCAAACTGGGCTCTTCTGGTGCTGATTCCCATGTGGGTGGGCTTGTGTGCATTCTAGGACCCTGTGGGTCTCTTCGGCAAACTTTCCTGTGAGGCTGGGAGTCTCTCCCAGCACCTCAACCCCCATGGGTATTTTCAATGGGTGTTTTGAGGCTTTATTCCCCAGTGCTGGGACCCTGGGTTGTGTGGTCTGTCTCACTCCCCAGTTTCATCTGGTTTATCTGCACATGAATGTGGGACCTTCAGGTTCCACAAGCCACCTTGTGTGCCAAGCCCCTCCACAGTCTGCAGCCTTGCTGGGTATGCCTGCTGCCACCTTGCACGCCCAGGGTCTGCCAGCTGCTGCTTTGTGCACCAGGGGTCCACCAGCCACCGCTTTTTTTGCCATGACCCCTCTCCACCCAGCTCTGCCCCTCCTACTGGTCTGGATGAATGTGTCTACTTTCACTCCTTGGTTTTCAGGCTTCCATACAGTTCAATTTTCTGTCAGCACTGGCTGTTATTTTGTTTCTAAATTTAAAAAAGTATTTTACTTATTTATTTTTAGAAAGAGGGGAAGGGAAGGAGAAAGACTGGGAAACATCAATGTGTAGTTGCCGCTATGTGTCTCCCACTGGGGACCTGGCCTGCAACCCAGGCATGTGCCCTTACTGGGAATCGAACCAGTGACCCTTTGCTTCAGGGGCCCATGCTCAATCCACTGAGCTACACCAGCCAGGGCTATTTCTAAATCTTTGTTGTTCTTATTTTGTTTCTGTGAGGAGGCACAGTGTGTCTACTTATACCTCCATCTTGGCCAGAAGTCTGATAAATAGAAACATTTAAGTGGAACAGAACAATTCCCCTTATGCTTAAAAATTTAAAAGTTGCTTGTAAAGGCAAAATTTAGGTGAACAGTAATTCAAGATTGTAGACTCAGATTTGGTGTGAGATTTTGAGGGAAGATTTATAAAGATATTCTAAAAGGTGTTTTTCTGGTTTCTTATTATAAGGTACTTGAAGGCTAATAGCAACAACAAGAAAAAGATCATAATTTTCACTCCCCTCCACAGTGTCCCTGATCACTGTCAAATTTAGCCAATAGAGACTTATGTCTTGAATGTTGATAGTATTTACACATGGCATACACTTATTATTTCAAGATATTAAGAAGTACATATGCCATCTTTATAGGTAGGTGATAAGTTAGAGATGGGCAGGGACCTTGTCTCTATCTCCTCTAAGTGTCTAATGGTGTAGATTAAAAAAAAACTTTTTTGAATAAATTAGTTGTAAATGCCTTGGATGATTTTTACTCCACTTTCCGACAGGTTTACTCAAAAATTAAATATAATCAATTTCAAAAATAACGTGAAAACTGAAAGCATTCTCTTACCTATTTAAACTTGTTTCAGACATGTCTCTCCTAAACGTCTGGAATATTTTAGGAAAACCTGTTGAATGAAACATTTAAAATTTCAGCCATTCCTTCTATATCAGTAGTTCTCAGAAAGACAATATTGCCCTCCAGGAAGTACTTGGTAACCATCCGTAGACATTTTTGATTGTCACGCAGAGGGGTAAGGGCTAATGGCATAGCCAGGACTAGAGGCCAGGGACGTTGCTAAGCATCCTATAATGCAGAGGACAGTCCTGTCCCCTCATCTTGCCACAATGAAGAGTCATCCAGACCAAAATGTCTTAAAGGAAGTGACTGGAGTGGTTTCAGTACATGAAGTTAAACACAAAGGTAAGTTGTTTTTTGCAGGACTGTTTTTTTAGTAATACAGCACCCTTAAGGCACTACTCCTTCTCCAAGAAGGAGTAGTGCCTTGTGTGTGTGTGTGTGTGTGTGTGTGTGTGTGTGTGTGTGTGTGTGTGAGAGAGAGAGAGAGAGAGAGAGAGAGAGAGGGAGAAATCCAGAGTGAGAGATGATGCTATCACTGTGTATGCACGCAAAAGTAGCACCACCTACGGCTCTGCCTGAATTGCCAATTGTAAGAGGCGTTCACCTATACCTATATTGTATAAGTTCCGCTCAGCCAAGATTTTAGTGCCTTTGACAGAAGGGACTGAGGTAGACTGGAGTGTGTGTGTGCAGTGGGTCTGTATTTCCTAAGGACACCCAGGTGGAGGAAGGCCCTGGAATCTTTGGGTCTGCTGCCCCCTAGGGCCAGGGAAGCCTTCCAGGAAAGGGCGCGCAGGGGCAGTACTTTTCTGGGGGGAGACGCTGGAGGACCAGATGCTGCTGCGCGTTCTGGACGTCTGGCTGAGTGTTGTCTCAGGCTCACTGGTCGTCTCACGCTCACTGGTCGTCTTAGGCTCACTGGTCGTCTCAGCTTCACAGGAGGTCGTCTCAGGCTCGCTGGACGTAGGTGTCGGGGTCAGGCTGGGGCTTGAGATGCTGGTGAATCGAGGGCGAAAGGCCTTCAGGTCGTCGTCATTATTGTCACCGATGTTCATAATTTTCCAGAAGTATTCGTTGCCAAACGTCTCATGGTCCTCTACCCCATTCTCCTCCTCTGCCGCCTTCTCCTCCTCTGCATCTGCCTTCTCCACTTCCTTCTCCACTCCTATCTCCACCTCTTCTTCTTCCTCCTCCTCCTCCTGGTCCTCCTCCTTCTCCGGCTTCCTGAATCTACGCGAGTGCCAACCTGCCATTGCCCACGGGAAGCGGGATTGCAGCTAGCCTTGCACAGAGGTGGTGGCCCCAGGGAAGGATCCAGGCCTGGGGCACGAGCCCTGTTGTGTGTCTGTCTCCCCGGGCAACTGCCTGCAGTGGGGCAGAACTTCGGGGATTTAAAGCCACAGAACACCCTTAGCTAGTTGGCACGGCAGTGCCTAGAGAGCGGCAGTCAGGCCAGGAGCTGCTAAGGTGAGCTGGGGCCACTGCAGAAGTCTTTTACAACTGCTCTTCGTAGTCTCAGAGTGCCCCTCGACCGCCTCCCCCCACCCCCAGCAGGCTTCTGCCAGATGATCTTCCTTTCCTCTATTAGCTTCTTTGGAGCAAGTCTTTTTACTTTTATTTTTCGAGGGGGTAGGGGTCGTGGCTACCAGCAATGGACCCCATAAGGGCACTTGTTATTGCGTATGCTGGAGTGTGAGTGTGTGTGTATGTGTGTGTGTAGACAACCACCAGCCCTTAGGTCCTACTTTGAATTTTTATTTTTATTTTTAAAATATCTTATTTTATTTTATTTTTTTAGAGAGAGGGGAGGTGAGAGCAAAAGGGAGAAACACACCAATGCATGGTTGCCTGTCACCATAGCCTCCACTGGGGACCTGGCCCACAACCCGGGCATGTGCCCTGACTGGGAATCAAACTGGCAACCTTTTGGTTTATAGCCTATGCTCAATCCACTGAGCTACACCAGCCAGGACTGATTTGAACTTTTAAAACATTTCCTTACATATTATCTTGCTTAGCGAGACTGGGGTCTTCTGTATTGCTGGTTCTATCCGTTCATCCAGGAGGTGGAAAAAGCTTGAGACATCTGGGCACCTGTGTCTTTTGGGGGCTTTGTTTTCAGTTCATAGTACTTATTAAAATGTTTGTAAGATATTTCAGTACACACAAATAGGTATGCAGATATAATGTACACCTGTTTATCTACTACCCAGGTTGGAGCAGACACTTTCACTGTAGAGTTCAGCTTTCTTTTAAAAGCTTTTCAAGACAGAAATGTGTCTGGTGAGAGGGATTTTGTTTCTGAGGTTTGATGTCATTGCAAAGATAAAGGAAGCAAACAAAAGATTCTACATGGCAAAGGACATCTGGGTGTTGTGAAAACGGCCTTACTGACCCTTACATTAATTAACTAGCATTAGGCCTACAAGTACCTTTGTATGATCTCTATTGAATCATGCAAAGCCTCAGTTCAGCCTCTTTCAGCCTCAGTTTCCCTGGGTATTGATATTAGGAAAAAAACTGAAATAAACGTTGGTAAGAGAATACTTAAGAGTCAAATGGCTGTTAGGGAAGTGGGGCCTCTGCAGATCTTATGCCTCAGTTCTGCTCTGCTATTAAGTTACTACACCTGTCGCTAAACTTGAACCTGGAAAAGCCAGTGTTCAAGCTGCCTGTCACCACGAGACCCAATAAATAGAGAGAGGTTCAAATCTTTACAAGCACTCAGATGGCCAGCGATCTGAGAAGATGACAGGTTATGGACTCTAAGAGACCATCTTGCATTTCCTTTCAAGCCAGCCTTTTTCATAAGGAGGAAAAAAGGCGTAGGTAAAGGATTTGGAATTCAGGAAGAGGTTAATCAAATAAAAGCTGAAGTTCAGCAATTTCCTTAACATCCTTTCATCCACCGACCTGTGATTCTTTACCTGTGTCCTGTGTCCTATGTTTTGGGTGATTTTCTTTATATGTGTCCTGGGAAGAGGGATGTCTCTCCCTGGAACACAATGGCTCAGATACCACCTCGATTGCTTATGGTCTCTGCTGGAGCACAAAAGTCGAATTGCTTTGTGGTCTCCTGGAGTCAGGGTAGGCCATGCCGTCAGTTTTTGAAACAATGGCTTTTTACATGCTTTAACTACTAGACTTATTAACTATTACCTAAAACTAGAAGTTTGCAACTCTTGAGTTCCCCCATCAAACTTGCTATAAACACCCTGAAACAACTGCTGTATGGACACCTGTGGACTTGACCTTCTCCTTGTAGTTTCTACCCCTCCTTGTTTGCATGTTGGGATTAACCAATCCCTATTAACCTAACCAGCAATTCTTCATTTGCATGAAAGAATTATACTTTGTGGTTTTTATGTTTTTAAACTGTGCCTTTCTTTGTTCTCTCCAGTGCACAGTTTAGGTTTCTACCTGAATCTGTATCTGTTGGATTGTAATCCTTTGCTCGAATAAATGCATTTAGTTCTTTATTACAGCCAGAATCTCTTCTTTGGTTGACAGTATAAATGGAAATAATAGTACATATCCCTAAGATTTTTGTGGATATCAATGAATGTTAAATGACTGCCTATGACTGACAGTGTGAAATGCAATAATGCAAAGCACAAAAAACAAGGTATGCCTGGATATTTATGTCTTGTATGTACAATTTTGTATCATGCTTTTAAAAATTTAGCATGACATAAACATTCTCATTAATTTTTATATCACATCAAGTAGCTATACCTCAGTTTATTAAATTATTTTTGCATTTAACTAGAGAATTATCAAAAGGATATTCAATATTGCTTTCAGTCAAGATGGCAGAGTAAGTAAATGCTGTACTCACCTCTTCCCATGATCACATCAGAATCACAACTAAATACAACCATCTTTGAGAACCACCTGAAGTCTAGCTGAACAGATCTCCCATAACTAAGGATATAAAGGATATAAAGGACAGGTGAAGGACCCAGCTAACCCACTGTATAAGTCAGCTATGGCTGCTTTAACAAAATACCACAGACCAGGTGGCTTAAATAACAGAAGTTTATTTTCTCACTGTAGTGGATGCTGGAAGTCCATGATCAAGATGCCAGCGTATTTACTTTCTGGTGAGCCCCTCTTCCTGGCTTGCAGATGGCCACCTTCTCATTGTGTCTTCAACTGGCAGGTTTTGTTTTTTTTTTTCCAATTGTGAGCATGGTAGGGGGGGGTGGAGAGGAGGGAGAAGGAGGGGGAGGGGAAAAGGGAGGAGAGGGAGAGAGGTAGGGAGGGAGAGAAAATAAATACACTAATCCTTTCTAATTAGGGCTCCACCCTTATAACCTCATTTCACCTTAATTACTTCCTTAGAGGCCCCATCTCTGAAAACAACCACCCTTAGGATTAGGGCTTCTACATTTGGATTTGGGGGCATACCATTCATAACACCCACTATGAGGAAAGCAAAGGAGCCAGGGTTTCAAGTGAGCCATTGAAATAGGAATGGTGGCCAAGGCCCAAGAAAAGACTACTGATCCTTGGTGACTGAGTTATTGATGTTTGTAAGAATGTTTTCAATGACTGGGCAGATGTCTGTCCATCCTTTAAAATCTTTGCTAGCTTGGGTTCTCCAAAAAGTAAATGCCAAGATGGGGGAAACACCTGTAGCCGTGCTCTTGAAATTGCATTGCAGGTCTGAGGTCTGTGGAGGAGAGAAGAGAGGGAGGAAGGAAGGGAGGAAGGAAGGAAGGAAGGAAGGAAGGAAGGAAGGAAGGAAGGAAGGAAGGAAGGAAGGAAGGAAGGAAGGAAGGGGGAAGGGAGGGAGGAAGGAAGGAAGGAAGGAAGGAAGGGAGGGGGAAGGGAGGGAGGAAGGAGGGGAGGAAGGGAGGGAGGAAGGAAGAAAGAGGAAAGAAAGGAGAGGGGGGAGGGGGGGGGGAGGGGAGGGGAGGGGAGGGGAGGGAGGGGAGGGGAGGGGAGGGGAGGGAGGAGAGGGAGGAGGGAGAGGAGAGGGAGGAGAGGAGAGGAGAGGAGAGGAGAGGAGAGGAGAGGAGAGGAGAGGGAGAGGAGAGGAGAGGGGGAGAGGGAGAGGAGAGGAGAGGAGAGGAGAGGGAGAGGGAGAGGGAGAGGAGAGGAGAGGGAGAGGGAGAGGGAGAGGAGAAAGAAGGAACAAGGGAAGGAAGTCTAGTGGGAAGAGTGTAAGCAAGCAGTACAGTTCTATGTAAGTTTGGGGATATGGCCAAGGGAGACCCTGAGCCAGTTGCCTGTCAGGGGAGTGCGTCTTTCAGGAATGCACCTATCCTCATCTCCCTGCTGTGCTGTCATTGGCTGGGAGTTACGTTGGGAAACATGGCCACATGTTTGGGGCATGTGGTGGAGGATTCAGAGAGCTGTAGCTCGAGGTATTAGTTTTGCTTTCCCCACTCCCTACTCCCACCCCAGCAGCAGGAGATGAACAGGGAATTTTCATGGTGGACACAACCTGTTCTGCTCAAGTCTGCCTTCCCCCTTGTGATCTCCCCTGATTCCTCTCCTCAAATTTAGTTATAGTCTTCCCAGAGTACTCTTTGTTGCTTAAGGAGAAAACTTAGCAGGTGGTATTATTGACAAGGACAAGAGTAAAATTGTTAAGGGCATGGATTCGAGGAGGAGCAAGACTACTGGGGTTAAACCCTGGCTTCCAAATTGAACAGCCGTGTGACTTAGCTAAGATACCCAGCTTCTCTGTGCCTCATTCTCTACATTTGTACTATGGGAAAATACTCCTCCTGACGAGCCTGCGAAGTGGCCTAACAGTCACTTCTTTGAAGTGGTACAAAGAACTAATATTCTTTGTATCTGCTTTATAGGCTGGTCATGAGGGTTCAATGAGTTATATATAATGGCTTAGAACACCTCCTGGAACATTATAAATATTACATTATCTATTTATACTTTTAACTGTCCATTATTATCTTACAATTAGAATGTAATGAAGTTTGTGAATTGAGATAGCCATGTAGATCTTCTTTCAAATCTTGTTAGTGATTAAAAAAAAAAGTCGAGAAGATTAAGAAAAGAGAGATTTAATAGAAATAGATATAAATACCCAAGTGTTTTTATTTAAAAATTTTTTATTGTTTATTTTTATCCTCACCTGAGGACATTTTCATTTGCTCTTTTGGAGAGAGAGCGGAATGGGGAGAAGGAAAGCGAGAGAAATGTTGATGTGAGAAAGGAGCATTGATCAGTTGCCTCCGTACACATTCAGACTGGGCGTCCGAGCTGGGACTGGGG